GGCTGCGTTTTCACAAGTGCAGGGACTTCTTTCCTGTGTCCCAGGGCATGGGAGTCCATTCAATTGAATGGACTCTCGGCCCGAGCAAAATGCGGACTGCAGGAACACGGATATGTGAACCAGGGGTTTCTGTTCAGTGCCCCACACCCCTCTTTACCAAATCTCCATTGGCTTTTGCTTGCCCAATGATAAAATTAAAAAATTCTAACAACAGTATACAAAGCCCTTCACAACTCTGCCTTAGACTACATCACCAAACTCAAAATGACACTCAGAGTGTCCTCTTCCCAAAGATGTCCATCTTCTCTAGCCCCCTTAGGGCCAATTCACACTATATACAGTGGCAGACATCACAGGGCTCTGTCTGACATTGCAGTGAATGAAGTGTATGTTTTGTACACTTCAAAAAAAAAAAAAAAAAAAAAAAAAAGGGAGCTGTGTGATGTGCTGAATTGCGCACCACATTGGCCCCTAAGCAGCCGGCAACGCCGAGTGTTCAGAGTGCGTAATCGCTCTGGCTGCTCTTTGATTTAATGATTTTTATGTGTGAATTTGCCCTTAGTCACCTTCTCATGTGGTCATCTCCAAGACCTCTCCCATCCTCTGAAGCTCCCCATCTCAATCTGTCCAGCTATCTCCTACTCTGCCCACCGTTAGAAGGTCCCTGAAACTCAGCTCCTAAGGAAGGCCTATCTTGCCTCCCTTGTAAGCTCTCAAAAGCAAAGCTCTCTGAACTATTTTGTATTGAATTGGATTGTAACTGTACTGTCTCCCTTTATTCTGAAAAGCGCTTTGCAATCTGTTGATGCTGTATAAATCCTGTATAATAATAATAACTGACAACTGCACCTTGTCAGGAAGAAGACAAGTATTATAGCTGGAGGGTTGCACTCAGGAGGGTTGGATAAAAAGAGAACTGTACTAAAGGTGCAGATATCCTTGAAATATGTCTATAAGTATATCCATAAATCGCTGTTGTAAGAGAGGAGATGACAGTATAGTGTGCGCGAGTACATAGGTAATAATAATTTCAGGCTAGTTAAATTTTGCTAAAAGCTCATTTATGACATGTTCTCTTTAAATATAATTATGAAATAAAGAATGCATAGAAGAAAGGCAGCTTTGAAGTCTCCGTATCACATTTCGCTCTCTCAGCTGACAGGTGCATAATACAGAGGCAAACACCTGGGAATAATCCAATTCATAAAGTCCTTATCCAGGTATTACAGGATGATCACAGCACTCAGGAACTGCAATGACAAGGAGTACTGACAGTGTATCATTAGAAAATGGTAATTTTGATTTCTTGATGTGACTGGGCTAGTTCATGAGACTGTGCTGTCAGGCAGGATTAGGCTGTGTGTATAGACAGTCAATCATCAGCACCATATTGAGGGAGATATTCCCAGTTACATCAGGCTTACAATTGGCTCAGTTACAGTGTGGTGTGTTTGTTTTATTCACATCATGAGAATGTATACACAAAATACATTGTTAATCATCTTATACATCAACAAGCTGGAAATTGCTGCAATTATTAATGTCTGGTGAATAATAGAAGACATTGTCATGTGCTCAGGAGATTACACTGCAAGGAACCTTCTTGCATTGTTCACATTGAAGGAAACCCATCTTGATGTTGCAAACAAGAATATAAAATTATTTTTTATATATTGGATGATTAAAAAAGGGACAGGCCACCCAAAACTGATATTTCACTTTTTGGTAAATGCTAGAGGGATACATTTCTTATAACCCTCAGGGAATATATTGTAGTATGAGATATTAGCACTTGAGATGTGAAGTCTGTATACCTGAGGTGGTCATTATGAGTGGACCAGGGGCAGACTGACAACTCATGGGGCCCCCGGGCAATAGGGGATTATGGGGCCCTGTGTCCTTGCCCAAACTCAAAAAAGCCTATGAAAAAGGTACCAGGGGCATCTCATGGAGCCCCCTACTGACCCCAGGCCCTCGGGCAGTGCCCGAGATTACCAAACGGTCAGTCCGCCCCTGGAGTGGACCCCACTCTGTGTTGGATTTTTTATAGCTTGTACATTAGGTGGAATGTAACACAAGCTGCTGGAACATGGCGAGGAAAGCAGAAACACCCACATTTCCTATGCGGCTTGCTTTTAGGGAAACTAGTTGATTAAAGCGGAACTACACTGCATTTGAGCACCACAAATAAAAAACGCTGTTTATTTAATTTTGAATATTCAAAGCAAACTCACCCATCCATCCATATCTCCATGCTATTTTGAAATCACTTTGAAAAACACCCTCTAGCATGTCTGGTTGTGGACATCTTGAGTAAGGGCAGATGATTCTTGTAGCATTTACTTCCTGGAATCCATCTGCCCTTACCTCGGACATGCAGGCAGGAGGGTGTGCTTAGCTGAAAAAAAAAAATCCCCTCCCCCCTCCGAAGACTCCTTGATGTATGACATCATTTGCCTAGGCCTGGAAACTAGGAAGTAACTAAAGAAATGTACAAAAAAAAAAAAAGCTTAAAACAAGTAAATACGATATATTTTCCTAACCACTGGTCTGTCCCACCCCTGCTCTACACACCACACCATGTTACAAAAAAAGAAAAAAAAGACCACTGCCGCACTACCTTGTGTTATATATGTTGCTATGGCCGTGGATAGCATAATGATGCTCATGTTGCTAACACTCACATTGCTAAAACCACAGCAATGTATAAACA